GAGAAATGCTGTATATAAAGAGTTAGAGACGCACACTTTATCAACAAACAGTCGCGAGCCTTCGCTTAGCCTACTAAGCTAAGTCCCACTACTGAACCATACAGTGTGTTTACTTACATTTCTCTATGTCTTCGGGCTTAAAGTGCTTCTCACAGGTAAACACCCTGTCTTTTTCTATCAGTTGGCGGAAGTTAGCATCAACAACTCTAGTTTTAGTGAGCTCGTTGAGCCAGTCTTCTCGCCACTTCTTGTACTCTGCGTTTCGCGGCGCCGGTAGCTTCCAGATTCCAATTCCTTTACTTCTCCTACACGTTCCACAGCCAAATACTGAACAATTTTCACCTGGCATTATGTACACTGACTTGATTAATGCTTTTAGCTATATTTTGAAGGTACGATGTCGCTCGATCACGGAGAAAATCCAAAAAATTAAACGCTACGTGACTGTCGAAACAAGCCTACGGCGCCATTTTGGATTTATGTTTGCAGGGTCATTGTCACGTGACCTCGATAAAATCGAACAATAACCTATCCAACTGAAGTTTGCCGCGTTTCCTAACCAGTCCCCTCTACTAACTATGGTGTGCTCAAGTAACATATTGACAAACTGCAGAGAGTTCAAAACGCAGCCGTCAGACTTGTTGTTATGCAGGGCAAATTTTGCCACATAACACCGGTGTTCCGTCACCTGCATCGGCTTCCTGTCTCATTTCGTATTAATTTTAAGGTTCTACTTTTAACTTTAATTAAGGTTCAACTTTAACTAAGGTTGGCTCGCCCAGGGTGGCTCGGATGGGCGACTTGACCTCCCTACCAGGGACAACTTTCTTCCTTATAAATTCTCCTCTGGAAAAAAAAAATTATCCCTCAACTTGCTGCAATGAACTTACTGTAATTATCAAATGTTGTCATGGAAATACGCATTCACAAACATGTCTTTCAATAACAAAATCCGTCTATCGAAGTCATTCCTAGAAAATGAAAAGAAAAAACTAGGAGCAAAGCAGAGAGCAAATCTGTGTTCTGGAATCCGGATTCCACAGGGCTAGCATCTGGAGTCCACAGCGTAGAATCCAGAATCTAATACTGTCCAGGATTACCTTAAATGGGGCGAAACTTTCAGATCAGATATAGTAGTATGGCCACCAAATGAAAAGACATGGAAACGAGCGAAAAAGCGAGAGAAAATCGGCGAAGATCTGGGAAAGAGTAACGAAGGATGGGCGAGGGATCATGATAAAGCTTAGTCCACTCTCGTTTTCTCTCTTCTTCGCACTTTTTTCACTCAGCTTGTCTCCGCAAACTAACGGCCAGGAATAGGCTAACTTGAACAAATAGTAACCGCCATCATCGTAAGATTCTTAAGTCTGGTCAAAACCAGTGCCACTTGAAGAAAGACAAGGGTCAGAAGAATCCAGTACTGGTGCAAGCCATGTGAATTAAAATGGAAAGTTAGAATTTCAATAGAGTAGGGAAGAGAGAGAAGACAAGACAAGTTCTATTGATTCTTTTCCATTGTGTTGCATGCGTATTAGCAGGATCCAATTACTCCAGAGAAATCTCTCCTCTTCGAGCAAACGGAGCTAATTCATGAACTCAACTGATTTAGCTCAAATTTAAGCAGTTAGTTCTCGCTTTCAACGCAGTACAAGGGTCTCTGAGCCAAACGAAGGTGCAATATTGTGACTGACTGAAACATTGAAACATTGATTGGTTGGTTGATTTCTGGAGTGCGATAAAAAATATTTTCATTCCCTTGCTACTTGGACAGTGTTTAGAGAACAACTTGCCGATACCAAGTCACTTATCGATTTTAATTAAAAGAAACTGCAGCTTAGCCAAGAAGATGGAAACGATTTTGTCTAAGGGTGAAATAAATGTTTTCGTAACGAATATTTTCTCAGAGTTATGATCATGGCATCTCTAGCAATAAAAGGACCAAAATAGCTTTTATGGCAAGAGAAAAAACCCTTTCAGATCATTGACATAGACCATTTACACAGATATTTGTATTCAATTTTTATTCCGCCCTTGTTTTGTTCTTTTTGTTTAAGCACCTTTCATAGGCCGGCACCGCTAAAGAATGGCAACCTCACACCACGATACCACTTGCAGATACATCTTCTGGTCGTATTCTTAAGTTCTACTAATGGCCGATGCAAGGAAGGACGTTCTTGCCGGAGGTCAAACATTTAACTGAGAATACAAGCGAAAACAGCCTCGTATGGCTGCGAAAATGTTTAGAAAATTCAAATCTAATCGACATGCTAGAGCAACAAAATCAAGACATCATCTGCAATGGCAAGAGGAGAAAAATTCTTGACACAAACACGGCAAGCCCATGCTAGGAGCCTCGCGGATTCCCCATCGGCAGAAAACTTGAAAGATTCGTGAGGGTTGGGTTTATCCAGAGTTAACTCTGGTTTATCTATCAACCATAAACAGATATTTGGCTTCGGACATTCAATTTTTTTCTACTTGAATGTTTTATTACATGAAATTGAAATCGGTATATTCGTTCAATATATCAGTTCCCTTTTAGATAAGGTGTGTGGTTGGAAACTTGTAAGGTCATTAACTCTTTAAAGTGTTTTTTGTCTTACTCAAGGTGCCAAGTGGTGAGTCTTTGATATCTGAATAAAGTCCATAGAGATTTAATGTTCTGTAATTAAAACTAAAAACATTTGCTACGCAGCGAGGATTTAACATAATCAATATCTCCCTTATCATTCCTCTTCTCATAAAATAAAGTCCTTAAAGACATAAAGTTCTGTAAATAGACTCTTAAAACATTTCTTACGCTGGGATGATTTAACATGATTTACCGGATTTAACACCCGAGCGTACAATGTTAACAGTATTTCTTAACCATGTAACTTCAAACCAACAATAAACAGAACTGAGAAATGAACTTCAAATTTCAATCTATTCGAGCAAAACACTAAGTAATTAGGCTCTATGCTAATAGGGTCAACGTCATGACTAAGCCCATTAATTTTAAAAGCTCAGAGCAAGGAGAGAAGAAGGCTGTGTTCTAAGAATTAATGAACTACTTAATTTTTACTCAACCGAAAAGCCGCAAAGGGAGATAACCTTCATTGTAATTGCTCCATTGGGTTAAAATCAAAGAAGCAATGTCGAAATATTACCGGATTTTCTCACGCAATGATGACAACCGCAAAATCTTAGGTACATGCGACCAAGTTATCAAAATTGTGGCTGGATCAATGATTCCATCACAGTAGTAAAAAGTAAAAAATCATAAAATGGAAAGATAGCTCGTGAAGTTCTAAATTTCCCAACGCTACCCATTGAGGGTGAATTTCCCTCTAGGTGTAATTAGGTGTAATTAGCGTCTCTCTGTCTTCTAACAATTGTTTCGAGATCAGTTTTAGAAAGAATTAAGTAAAAAAGCACAATGTAAAACAAAAATGTTAGAGAGCATAGGCGTTGGTTTCGACACAGACTTAAAAGAACAATGCCTTCCTATAAATTAAGACCTATGTTTAGTAAATGAAGGGTTCCCTCCTAGTGTGTTTCAATCTAATTTTTTCTTATCGTGAACTAATGCTGGGCATTTAAATCTTCAGTGCCTTTTCACTAAAAAAAAAAGAAAACAACTACTATCTTGATTTTTGGACCAAAATTTTCAAGGATGGTGTAGAATGTCGAATTGTACCGTAGTATTTATCTGTTTTTCTTACAGTCTTCGAATAAACACTTCATTGCTCTGAATGCTTTATCGTTCTGAATACTGGCGGCATTTATTACAGATTGAGCTATTATTTCGAGCGTTTGATCATGAGCGGCGTGAAAACGCATTCAAAGGGGAGGAAATCACGTCCTCAAATGGAAATTTTAGCTTCTGAAGTAACTGCAGACAGTACTGTTTCGCCCTTCTGAACCTTATCAGTGCAGTGCTGATTCTAGGATGGGGGCCAAGCTATAAAGCCACCCCAAATAATTCCACTTTTATGGTACCATTTAAGCCGTGCCAGAGTGCTCAAACTAGAAATTAGTGAGCTTCGCGCAATTGCACGACATGACTCATTCTAACAGAGTGCTCGATTTAGACATAAAAGCAAAGCTTTGTAATGCAAAAGAGCTATTTATCTAACTAGCTTCTGATGTAAATGGTTTTTTTCTCCTGTCTGTCAAGGACAGGTACTAAAAACAGATGGGAAGAAATATCTTTAAATTCTCATTTACGTCTTTGCGTGTCGTGGGGCCGTATTTCTATTCGATTAACATAATAGGGGAATTAAAAAGGGTAAAGATCAAAACAGGGGCGGAATAAAATCAAATAGTTAATAGTGTCACTGTTGCGTGTCGATGGTCTTTAAAGGGTCATTCTCGGTTAAAGAAGTCATTTGGGTTCTCCGATTTTTAGACCTGACAACTCAACTCTGAAAGGTAAGATCAATCTTCGTTTAGAGGGACTTTTTTTCACCCCCCTGTCAAAGAATTTAAGGAGCGGGAAATGAAGCTGTTGGGGTTCCAAAGTCTCTTACTAATTACCGGCCTGTAACTCAGTTTTGTGTGCTGTTCTGTGGGTTATTTCCCATTTTGCTCGAGCGATGTTCATTCACAGTGAAGTACTGTTGGAGCGGTAAAAATATCCAGCTTACTCAAATCATTCCAATTCCTTATTGTTAACGAAAACTGTCCTCATCTTCTTTCTGTTTTTTTTCATTAGTTCTCCGTCTCTCTCTTAACACTTAAAATATAGAGAATGATTATGCACTCTCCGTGTTTCTACAGAGAGGGAGAGATATTGAACGGGGTGACTTGCGGGATAGAAGAGAAGAGGTTGTTGTGTACCTTTTACATCCTAATAAAATAAGATGCTAAATATTTCGGAATGTATCGTCTTCATTTGCATATTTTGCGTTGGTCTGTCTATTGAAGTCGTATCTTTCCATTTCAGTTACAATGGTTTCCACAGGCAAGATTCTCCTGGTCTTCGTCCTTCTCCAAGTGGCACTGGCTTTGGCCAAGCCCTACGAATCTCTTTATGATGAACTTTATCGGTCTTATAAAGATATGCGGGATCCCTCGTATAAAGCTATGCGGGATGAGTTCCCTTACCACAGACGAGGAGGTAAAAGCATCTTATTATTTTTCTTCGAAGTCTAAGTATTTGTGACATATCTTTAATGTATCTATTTAAGCAAAAAAAGTAGCAAGGTTTGTTTTAGCTTGGTAATTAAAGGGATGCACACTCTGATAGCTCTATCTATTGAGTCATCTAAATTAGCTTTCTTTCTTTCTTGTAATACTAAGGCCATCTAAATATTGATGGGCGCCTCGGGATTTCTTGATAATTTCAAGAAACTACTCTATTTGATAATTATACTAGAATAACTGTTCTTCACAGTCCACAAAATATATATCATTTGACAATCTTTCATATACATCGAACTTTTCAATGCTGTAACCGCAAAACGCGAGAAAAACTTTTACAATTCATTTTTTTTTTCATCTTATTCTTAACCATTTTAATTAAACGTATCTAATCAATAGTTTTGTTTTGCAAATTGGTTAACAATTTGCTGCTTTCAAGAACGTTTCAATCATGAAAATCATTTGCAATTTTTACTCTAATCGGGCATGGAAAAGACAAGTTTCAACGGCTGATATATTGATAGTTATTGATCGTGGAAGATTTAGAAAATTTTTCTTGAATTTTTAAATAATTTATTCAATCTAGGCTTGTCAGTGTTTCATAAGCTCCATTTTTTATCGCGCCTCCAGGGGTACCATAATCATTATCGTAAGAAAATCCAAACTCTTATTGAAATCGGCAAACCATCTAAAAGCTCAGTCTTATACCAGCAATAATGGCAATAATAAAAGCGCCAAATGTAAGGCCCTCCGTCACTGGAAAAACTTCTCACTGAAAGAATTTACATTACTATCAATGCCTCACATCAATTGTCCCCCGTTCATTTCTTTTTCTTCCGTAGCCAAACAGTGCGTCTTTGGCAGATATCGCTTGGGCTATTGCCGAGCGGCGTGTTCAAGCTCGGAGAAAGTCGTCGACGACCAACTGTCTAAATGTGCTGAAGGCGAACAGTGCTGCGAATGCTTGAGCATGAGTTATTGGTAAATGAGTTATACATAAGAACTAAGAGTCATTTTTTGTTTCACTTTAGAGTAAGTATTAAGATATGACTCTCTTTTTCTTTCTACAGTACTCCATAAACAGTGTGGCCCATAAGTGCAGTACTTCAATTCTGTCGAAATGGCAGCTTTAGGTATTCAGTTTATTGCGATCATTATATATGTGTACATGACGACAAACTGAAAAAAAAAGCCACTGTGCTATGAGAGTTTTTGTTGTAATGCTTTTTTTTTGCAACTTTTTTTTTTCTTTTGTTTAAATATGTAAGATTTACTCACAGCGTTACAATCTTTGGTTTTGAAAACAGTCATCATTCGCTGACTCTCTAAAATTCGTGTACTTTTAAGCTTTCTAGTAACTTGAAGAAAGTGTTTATGGTTAATACAATCATAAGCTAAGGAATTAAAAGCTGCTTCGATTAGCTAAAACTAATATAAAACCATTTCCTCTCACATTAACAGTCATGAAATATATAAAGGAGGTACGTTTCTAAAGAAACTGTGGTGCTGCGTCGGTGGGGGTAACAAGGTAATTTGATAATATCAACTAAGTTGAAATTGTAAATTGGCCACCGTAAAGAGTAAAAAAGCTGACGTTTCGAGCGTTAGCCCTTCGTCAGAGCGAATGACGAAGGGCTAGCGCTCGAAACAGCTTTTTAACTCTTTACGGTGGCCAATTTACAATTTCAACTTAGCTGATATTACCAAATTGTCATGAAATATAGCTCGCTTTGATCTGTGTTAGTTTTTTTATCCTCAGACGAGGACATCGTTTTGTCATCCGTCCGAGAAGTAAATTATATGTACTCCATTGTGCCCCACACCCATTCCATTCACAAATCTTTACCGTGAGTCGAGAGAAAATGGGCTAGAAACTGGCACAGTGAAACAAGAAAAGACGGGCATATGTCATCTCTGACAAAGGAGAAATAAAAATTTCGTCAAATAAACTAATGAATTTGTTGCGAGGATACAAATACAGTCGAATTTGTTTTAAATGGCTCCATGTTTAACTGTCACTCTGTATCATGATTAAGCGGTCGGTTGACAGAGTCCCGATATATTTCACTTCTATCAAGCATTCACGGTCTGTTTTTGTCCCGGGGGGGGGGGTACTCGCGTATATGAGCCATATAGGTACGTGCCGCGGAATAGGGTATGGTTTTTGAGGTTCTTGGTCCTTAAATAGGGTATCTTTTTTTGCCCTTTTCTTTCTGTGTCCATTGTGTGGTCCTTAGATAGGGCAGCTTAATTGTATTATCTAATACTGGAGTGTGAAAACGCCTGCCTAAATGCACGGATTTTTTTTTGAAAACTTCATGTATCCGTTTAAGTATCGCAACAAAATGATTTTGCAACAGAGGTTTAATAGCCGTTAAGCGGGTATATACACGTAACGCCTCTTCAAGCCACATTATTAATTAATAATATGACTGTCGTTCATTTAATTAATAGAACTCTCACATCAAAACTTAGCTTAATGAAATAACGAGTGATAGAAGGGTAATGTTTAGCCGCGATCAAAGTTCAATACGAATAGAGTAGGTAGAGACACTCTAGTACGAATGCCTTTAAAAGCACACACAACCCACAATTTCTCTATTCGCTCCGACGAAGGGCTAACGCTCGAAACGTCAGCTTTTGTAATCGTTACGGTGGCCAATTTACCATTTCAACTTTGTTGATATATCCAAATTATCTAGTACGAATAATCCGGGCTGTAATCCGCTGTAATAAACAGACCGACTGAAAGATGTATCATGGTTATGATTGCATATTATTAAACTAGGCTTATTCTAGTATTTTATGCTTGATGCTATACATCCAATGTTACAAAGAAGAAATAAAGTTTTCCTTTTCATGCTATTAATAATTTTGTTTTTTCCTTGAATAGGGTGTCATTTTTCGGCTTTGGGCCTTAAAAATGGTATCAGTTTTCGCTTTCTTAGTCCTTAAACAGGGTTAGGGTTCACGAACCTTCGCGGCACACCCCAATCCAAAATTCGCGGGAGTACCCCCCCGGGGGGGGGGGTTGTAGTCATTCACCTGTACTGAACGGTCACTTGAAGCGGAACCACTAAAATAAAACTAAGAATAAACTCTGAATTCGAATTTAATCCATGTTTATCTCCCGAAATTAATAATAGCACAGAGGTCCTCAATGCATAGCAGATTATCCTTTTTATAGAACTGTTTGGACATCATGGCGTTTTTATCGCGTCTGACCCCTACTGTGTATTAGTTTTCATCTTGATTTTACTTTCCAATCGCTATGGATTAGCCATCGATACCTCTTCAATAACGTTCAGGTAACAATTGGTTCTCGTTCAGGTGAAGATTCTCAAAATTTGTATGTTAGTTCCCATTTATTATTCAAACTGCGGTGTTCTACAAGGATTTCCAGCCCTGAGAAAAGCCTTAACTACACAAATGCAGAATAAGAATCAGCTGCTGACATATCACTCGCCTTTCGTGCCATTCTGTCAGGTTTACTCATTAATAAGGCTGGCTTTTCTTGACTTTTAGGGCCTTTGGTCTTTATATAATAAACCAAATAACACATATGGGCGCGCGTACAGGTGTAATTTCTCTTTGAGTGTTCAACTCGATTTCTGACCCGTTTACTGCTCTCACTTATGAGATATTGGGTTAAACACTAGAAGAGAAATTCCATATCTACGCACACCCATGTATCATTTTTTTATTTGAAAAAATTTCTTCTAAATATTTTTAAAATAATGTAAGCTTCAACAGTTTATGCAAAGTTCCTCTTATGAGGGTGAATTCCCTCCGGGAGCTATTATATCTCGACGCCGTTTTGTCTACCGCTTTTCAACTCGTACTGTAGGAAAGGGTAACTGCCTATTGACTAATTACTCCTAACTAGTTAAACTCAAAAGAAGAGCTCCTTGCGTCCTAATTAGGTCACAGCTGTGGAGCTCAATTGTATTGAGAATATGTCAAGTCATGCCAAATGCTTTATTTCACCAGAATAATTCACCAGAGTAATTCACCAGAATCAAAAGGCAGTTAAAATCTCTTCCACTTTTCTCGGTCAATGCTTAGTGTTAACCGGTAAAAGAACCACTCATTTATCATCGTTTGCATTGCTCATTGTATTTTTTCGGGTGCTGAAAAAAAAAAGAGTTGAATAAAACTAAATGATACGTATGATGCACGATCCTCGCAGTAGATAGCGCTATTTAAGCAATAGCGAAAATCAGACCTGAAAAAAATCAGGCCTGTACGGGATTCGAACCACTGACCTCTGCGATACTAGTGCAGCTCTCTACCAATTGAGCTCACAAGCCAACTGGGAGCAGGCCGTTAAGTTGATTCGTAATAAACCCGTGAAAGTGATAAATCAGATACAATGAAATATATGAAGTTCATATATTGACTACTTATGACTACTGCGATCCAACTAGTCGTACCTTTGATTTCAGATATTTCTTGATCTCCGTTCAGGGGTAGCTGCTCTTTTTGCGTGCTTCAGTTATTAGAAGCGTTGTCACCTTTCTACAGGGCGTGTGTGAATAGAAGCAACATGCAAGAGCACAAATCTTTGTCACATATCAAATATCTTCGTTTCAGCAAGCATGGTTTCATTGGAAAGGTTCTTTCGGCAATTGTCGCCGTCCAAGTAGCTCTGGTTCTGACTAAGCCGTATGAACCGTATAACAGTGGTCCTTATGACTCCCACGAGTCTATGGCCGAATATTTCCAAAAACGAGAGAATTTGGGTATGAGTGGGTAAGAGATGTCTTGATTGACATTTTGCAACTTTTTTGTTATTCGAACAACGCCATCTTTTCTTTAGAATGCAAGTTTTCAGTTCTGAGCACCCTCGAGGGGAGAGGGGCAGGGGATTTCACGCTCCCTTAACTTTGGGCCATAAAATATCCTTGAGTTCAAACCCTGCAGAAAGAAGATGCCAAAACCTCTCCCTGACATTCCTTTTTATTTGCTATAAAGGTAGTGGCTTTAGAAGCTGGTCACCTTACAACGTAAGGAACTTAAAAAATGCTATTGAGAAATGCTTCCGTAAAATCTACCCCTCCTTTGTTACACTTGACAATTCCTATTTCCCCAGCGAAAAAGCGGAGGTATTTTGATACAGCTTTAGTGAAAGCTGGAAGCATAGTACATCATCCACCCTGGCTATAAATCCTTAAAAAACCTTCGAAAAAACACATACATAAGGTCCATACTGTAAGTTTCATTTTTTTTTTTTACTACATATAGCCTTAGGTACTTAATATAATTTCCAAAGTGCCCCTCAGAGTCCTCCCCTTCAAGAAATTAGAAGTGAGGGCGAAGGTAGCGATCACAGACGTTGAACTAAATTCCGCAGCGAGGAAAAGAAAAAGAGGCGGAACTTGCGCCTATTTTAATTGAACTTTCCCGAGAGTTTTTTCGAAGATTGTAGCAAGGAACAAAATGTTTAAGAGAAGTTTCGCGTTTGTTTTGTCTCAAGGTCGGTTCACCTTGTAAGCATGACGTTGATAACAACTGCCAACAGAAAAATATAATTTCTTGAGGTCTCTATTCAGCCACTTGTCTACTCTAAGATTTGGCATGCACAATGAAGAAGTTTTTTTTTAATGCAAAATCCTTTGATTTTGCATAAAGCAGGAACCATTGCCTTAAATTTCATGTATAAATTGACTGATAATCCCCTGTTAACATACCCAGGAGCCAATTTAAAGCCCTTGATGTTGTTGATAAAGATCCTCAGATGGTGATGTTGTTTTTCTTTAATCCCAAAGCCAGATGCAATCATCCTAGTTCGCCAGCGAGCCACACAGTCAATTACTGCCGAGAGACCTGCAGAGATCGATATGATTTTCATGTTACTTGGCTTGACTATTTGTGCACTGGGGGATTCAAATGCTGTTCGTGTCGCTATATGTGGTAAGTTTAGAACCTACAATCGTTTAATGCTATAATATAATAGAATTAGCCAAACCTAAAAGCGGAGCTCGCATTTTTTCTTCCCGCACGTCTCAAGGGCACAACGCCTTGCCCCGGCCAGGACTAGAAACTGGGTCGTCCGAATTGGAGCCAAGGGCACTGACCACTGGACTACTGAACAAAGCCGTGGCGTTGGCGTGCCCGCAGTACAGTTGACCGCGCATGCTAAAAGTAACA